CTGTCTGGGCAGCGACTACAATTAAGCCTTTGAAGCCCGTAACACACTAACTTTGCGTGCAGTGTGCCTATCAATATCCTGAGTGTGGCAAGATGAAAAATTTCATCTCTAGCCAATTGACTCTTTCGTATGAATCCACGTGTCAGGGCACGGATTCAAGCATGCAGCCAATCGGATTACCCCAGACAAAAGCACTTGGTGAGAGGAGTTTTCTGTGACATATGCCAGGGATGACAGCTACTGTTTGTAGAAAGAATGAATGTATGTGCATTAAATAATTAAGCATTTCATTCAATAATATTTAAAAAATATATCAATATTTAAGAATTAACCAATATCTATTAGCAATTAAATAATGAATAATATTAAATCAATGATTAAAAATAAAATTTTTTTTTTTTTGTATCCGATGTCTGGTTAATCGAAAAAGTAATAGGATAACTAATGGATTATGAAAATAATCATTAGTTGGAGCCCTACCATGCACATCAGGATCACCAGTGCAATGAATGATGGAATATGTTGTTTCAGTAGAGCAGTACACATGACCATGATTAACATCCACTGCTCGTGCTCAACAACCAGAAATTAATGTAAAAAAGCTGCAGTGGGGAGCTTGCGGTGACAGGATCTGAAAAAAGGGTATTTGAAAAGGGTTTTGGATTCTGTGTCCTCAATCTCCTTTTCTGTTTTCAAAAGGGCAATATCGGGGGTTTTAGACCCCTGATATTTCACCGAAGCCCCCAACTGTAAAGTTAAAAATAAATTACATTTTAAAAAGGTTAGAAAAAAAAATATTTTCGGTTTCAGTCTGAAAATTCCATTTTGGTGCACCTTTAGTTTTTATCCACACTGTTTCTGTACTATGTTAATCTGGTGGTATGGTGAACATACCATGAACATTGATGATACTGAAGATCTCATCCTGAGTATTACTCCTAAGATACTCCTATCCTGAGTATTACGTGAGACTGGGGTGTGTGAATCGCAGGCTTGGCAAAATTATAATTTATTGTAATATTTGATATTAAAAATATTCTATTATTTTGGTGGTAGAACAACTTGCATATGTATTTCAAGTATAACGATTCACTGTTTTTAAAATGTATCTGAAATCCTTGCCTTTTTAAATCTCTTTGTCTTCTAGAGAGGAATACCAATTGGACAGTTTTGTAAGGAGTTTAATGAGAAGACCAAAGACATTATTGAAGGAGTCCCTTTGCGTGTAAAGATCTTTGTTAATGTAAATATTTTATGACATACATTCTACTACTTTTGCTCTCCATGTTTCCTATACATTTGGCAGTGTCTTACACCATATGATGTCAAACTACTGTGACCACAGATGCAGGCCTCATTTCAGCATTCAGATGTATGTATTTTACATAATTGTTAGTCTTCTCTAAATTTGTTTTAACATGGGTTCCAAGTTTACTGTATCACATTGATTTAAGGAGCTATTGTATCTGTTTTTTTTTCTTTTCAGCCTGATAGAACGTACCAAATAAAGATTGGGCTGCCACCTACGTCATACTTCCTTAAATCTGCTGCTGGCATTGAAAAAGGTGCTTCGCAGACAGGTAGGTTATGAAAGCAAATCTCTAGTGATTGTAAACCTAGATTAATTTGAGGCAGGAAGAGGGGAATCGGAGATGACTTTGGTAAGATTTTTTCATATAGGATTTAATCTGCAGCCAAGCATATTTTGTTCACCATAGAGTGGAGAAATGTGAGATACTCTGTCCGGTTTTTCTTGCTGCCTGGGGCTAATTTTTCCTATTTCCCAGTGTGCTCATCTGCATTCCTCCACCCACCCCTCTTTGCTCCCCTCTCTGCCTCCCCCTCAACTATTTTTGCCTCTCAGTTTGTTCTGGATTACGACCAAGAAGAGGTCTGGGTCCATTTTACATTGCCTGGAAAAGACTGATACTGGGGCGTGACTTGCACCCTTGGTGGGCTGGCCCTGATGAAGGTTCCTCCTTTTGACTCTGTGGGACAGGCATCTGGATTAGTGAATTCTTCTTCTGGGGCTGGTCTACTTTCTGAGCACTGCAGCTCCTGTTTCTGAGACTGCGCAGGGGGAATTGCAAACTTTTTCTCTTACAGCCCAATTATTTTGCAAGTCTGAGGACTAGTACTGCTGTTTGGAATAATGATCCACCTGCCGGCGCCCAGCGGGTAGGAGAAAGCTGTCAGGAGGCCGAGCGATTTATGAATGAACATGAAGCCTCTGTACTGTTTGCTTCCTGTTAATTGAGTGCTGTGGCTGCAGAAAAAGAAAGAGCTTGAGGACCCTGGGTCCTCAATCCTTTTTATTTCAAAAGGGGAAATTCCCCAAAGCCCCTAACAGTAAAGTAAAAATAAAATATAATTGTAAAAAATAGTACAAAAGTTACAAAACAAAAACAAAGCCCCCTGAACACCCAAATTTTTATTTTAAAAAACTAAAAAGGTGAGAGTCATTTTTTGCTTTGGCCTGACAAACTATGGTGTGGGAGATGCTTGGTGGTGCTATCATTTCAGTGGCACCCCATACGCATCTCCCGCCCGCACCAGAATGTGTGGTACAGTGCTGTGCATTCCAGTGTGGTGTGATTGCAAATAATTGTGCATGCAGTTTTAGTTTGAAATAAACTTTAACACTCCATTTGTGTATTTTATTTTGAATTACGAATGGTATTTAATTTTGTTTTTAATTAATCGAAAAAATAATCAGCCAACTAATAATTTTATGAAAATAATCGTTAGTTGCAGCCCTAGTTTTTACTGACATTTTAAGTAACACTAGCGCCTCTATATTGAATAGCACTTTGGCACTGGCTGCCTGTGGTTTTAGAGAAGAAAGGATGGGTTTTCTAAAGGCCGTTGACAATATTTTATGTCTTAAAGGAGAACTATGGGGTCAGTGTTTTTCCCCATAGTTCTCCTTAGGGTAACGGGGGACACAAACTAGCGTCCTCCCGTCACCCTAAGCTCAGTATACCGCGAGCTACAGCTCGCGGTATACTGAGACGCCGCACCTGGAGCGGATCCCGACTTAGATGACGGGGTCCGCCCAGCTGCGTGAGTGACAGCTGGCTCTGCCTATCTAGAGGCAGAGCCAGCTGTACCTGCCCCCTCCCCCGTCCGTTCCGCCAGTCAGCGCTGGCAGATCGGAGAGGGGAATCCAGCCCCTCCCCCTGTCACGGCAGAGAGCCGTGACAGGATCGAGAGGTGAG